CAATATATTTTTTTTAAAACAGACCGGAAAAAAGAAATTTCTATGTTCTAAATTTCTTGCGCGATTTTTTTTTTTTTTTTTTCTACTTGAGAGGCAACAACGCCTATCACGCATCTCTTTAGTACTTTTAGAACAGCTTTGCCGACTTCAGTTTTTCACATGAACTGATTTTACTACAAACATAATAGCCATCGATGTTCCTTTTTTTCTTTCCGTCGCGTCATGCCAACAAGAGATTTACATTTTTTAGTCAACTTTTTTCGAGAAATGCAGTTCATTACCGACTAAAGAACAAGTACATTCAGTGTAGTCTGGAAGAGAAAATGTCTTGTTATGATCGTATGATCAACAATAACTTTTTTCATTGATTTCTGTTCTTTTTTTTGGGTTTTCTTTCTGGTCAAAATAATATTTGTTATTACATTTCAATTAAAGAATATATAGAATTCACTTCAATTCCAGTAAAACAGAAACGACGAAGAAAAAAATATGGCCGATACTGAAGAAACTATTTTACAATCAACTGAAAATTTTCATAATAATACATTACGGACACTAGACTCATGTACGGAAATTTTATTAAAAACAATTACATTATTAAATAAATATTCAGCAAATAAATAACAGCAACAACAACAAGATGCTAATGATCTAAAGATTTTGGATTTAATACATGAGCATGAATGTGTTAAAAATCTAGAATTACGTATGTCCATTGTTGGTACAATGAAAGCTGGTAAATCGACATTATTAAATGCAATAATTGGCTATGATTTATTACCATCAAGAAATTCGGCAATGACAACATTACCAACAGAATATATTTTAAACAGGATCTTGATCGACCACAATTAAAATTAGATGAAAATTTCATAAAAATAATAAACGATACATGTTCAACTATACATTTGCACATAAAAGATAAAGAATTAAAACCATGTTTTGATGATCAAGAACATCCTATTGAAACGGCTTTAAAAGCTTCAGAAACAAATAAACTTGAATCAACATTAATAACTGATATCACACAAATTCAAGAAACATTACTACTTATCAGTGATATAATACGTATAGCATTATTACTTAATATTGATAAAATTAATAATTTAACCATTTTACCACGTTTAGAAGTACCAATGATCAATTTATTATCAAAATCATCAACATCGTGTGGCAACTTAATAATTGTTGATACTCCTGGACCAAATGAAGATCAACTTTCCAAACATCTGAAACAAGTAATTATAAATGAATTACGTAAATCAGCAATAATATTAATCGCATTAGATTTTAATTCGCTAAATTCAACTGCTGAAGTAGAACTAAAACGAAATGTTGAGACGGTTCGTTCAAGTAGATGGTCATATTCTATTCAAGATGATAATGATTATTTATATGCAGTTGTTAATAAAATTGATCAACGTGATGAAATTGGCGATAGCACAACCGAACAAATTAAAGCTTTCATATCATCAAGGTTTAACATTCAAAGACAAAATATATTTGAAGTATCAGCTAAAAATGCTTTATTATCCTTCATATTTTTCAGAAATATGCAGGTTAATAAAGCATTTTTAGCTGATACTATATTCATTTAGTAAATGAATATAATTTAATTGATAAACGTGAAAATCTCACACACAATTTATTATTAGAACAAATGATGATATATAAAACATTTATTCAACAAGCACTGGGTCAATCATGGCAACAGGCCATTAAATATGTACCTGTCGACAAACTTTATGATATTGCTAATGAATTATGGACTGATAAATCGGGTTTTGATTTATTACTCAAACAGACGATAAAAAAAACAATTGATAAAGCTGTACCAATATGTTTATGTTCGGCTTTAGATAAATCAATATCATACATTGATAAATGGCGGGAAAAAATTGCAATCAGAAGAAATTGTTTGAATATTGATGAGAAACCATTACTAGAAGAATTACAGCATCTGACTTGGGGTAATTCGTTTAGGACGTCGCTAATCGCACAAGGAAATTCCGTTCAAAAAGTCAGCACGAATTCGATTATTTTGAGTCTAAATTTGATTTGACACAAAATTTCTGAGCTCGACATGGTCCAGTCTGATTCTACAATGAAAGACTTCTGAAAGAAAAAAAACAGGTCTATTGCCACTCCCTGGGCATGTGAACAAGGAGCAATTGCCAACGACGACCATGAGACTAATTTAAATTAGTAATCTCATAGGTTGATTGTTCTTGTGTTATAATATAAAACGCAACACCATAATGATCGTTATCTGTGGGAGCTTTTGTAACGTGTGGTATAACTGAGACATTAGAAATTAAATAAGTAATAGGTCATTCACAATCATGAATCATGACATGGAGACAGGTGTCAGATATAACGGTTCAGTTTATCAATTATCTATAGATTGACTTATAAGTAAGTGCAGCGTATTCACCAGACTTAAGTCCCTGCGACTTCTGATTATTTCCAAAAATTAAAGAACAACTTCGTGAAAAAAATTTCCGGGATATTAATAAACTTCATGCTGCTGTCCAGGAGCAAATGGACGGTCTTCGAAAAGACGATTTCTACCAATGCTATGAACAATGGTTTGAAAGAATGAATAAGTGCATTAGTGTACAAGGACATTACTTTGAACAAATATAATAAAATTATTTTAAACTGAGCTAAGAGCATTGTAAATCTAAAAACTTTCAGAGTGACCCACCTATTATCTTAGTTGAGACATTTAACTATATTATCTCTTTTGGTTTACAGAGTTCTCTTTTAAGCTACACTTTATTGTCTCTTTTGGGTGCTCTCATTTTAATGTCTCATATGAGGGTAAGCGAATAAAATCAGGAGATTTATTATATATTTCAAGTTAAGATTCAGATGGTACAGTAAAATTCAACCTTTCGCAAGAAAATAGATATTATATTAAATACACGGAAAAACACCTCACGAGCAGTTATAACGAAAATTGTAATGAATTATATTAAAGTGAATTCTTTTTAAACGCTTCCGATCGTATCTAAAACGTTGAAGCGAATTAGACCAAACTGGACTATATGATCGTATTAAAGTAAAAACCTTTCTTAGTCTCTTCCCTTCATAACTGATGTTTTGCAGATGTGACTGCTATAATGAACGTTAGTACGCTAGGTTGTATTTTGCCTGTCTATTCGATTGATAAATAAAGTTTATACAAAAAAAAGTAAAAACCATCTAGCATCATCATTTCTCAACCAAATTGCATGAATGGTCATTTTCGGGCAAAATTGTATCGAAAATGAAAGCATTTGAGACCGTCAACTTTTACCAGATATGCTTTGGCATATAATCTGTTTAGAAATATAATGGAAGTCTTACAGTCGGCTTTGTTTCAAATGGGTGCTAAAAGACTCAGGAAAATCTGCACCATTTGAATTGATAGAGTGCTCGAACTTGTAAAGATTGATAGAGTACAGTCCAATAGTTCGATCCAACACCGGAAGATCGAAAAAAGCTTGTTTGAACCTGTTGCGAAAGTCTCTGGACGTTCATCTTGGCTAAAACAGATTTAAGTAATAGTGGCATTGCATCCGATTATGAATTTTGATTCGCACTCAAAGTTTGTCAGAAAACAATTCTATATTTTCAGCACATGTCATATTTAGTATGTTTAGTTAAGTAGACAGTTTGCTAAGGTATTTCTAGTACGCTGCACAGAAAAGGCGTGAAGCGTAAGGAGGGTTCTCGTCTATCAAGAAGGTTGCTCATTCGATCCGCATAACGCAGCCATTTTTCATCACAACCCTTTCAAATTTTCGGCAGAGGTTCAAAATAGAGTCTGAAACACTTGAGCGACTTCAAAAGTTATAGTTTTATATGTTAGTTTTCATGTCGTATACCACATTTTGATCAACAATTTTGATTAACTTAAAAGTTTTATTCATCCAAATTTGAGCCAAACATCTCTCTGAGCCATATAAAAAAAACAAGATTATATCATTATATAACGATTATCTTATGGAAAATTTATCTCGAAACTTGATTTTAATACTATCAAATCATGTATGGACGTGTGCCATCGTGATTAGGTAGAATATCTACTTAAGTAATAGGCACAATGTTTATTGGACTGTACAGTTGTCGTTTCGTTCTTATCTTCTATCTATTCTGCCCGACGCAAAAGGTACTTTAATTTTCCTACTGAATATCTGTTAACAGACAACAGAAGTATCCAGCAGAGTTATGATTAACTTAGTATCTTTTAGATGTGAACGTTGCCAGCTGATGTGTACATCAACTCAGGCTGTGTAAATCTATTAAGAGAAACAAACCAGTGTTCTTTTCCCCGATAGAACGACAGGTTTATCTTATCTCTTTTGTTCAGTTTATAGAGAAAGGCTCTAGTCTAGATCTTTCGCAAGAAATACCACAATATCGCGAACACCTTACTGAAAAAACTCTTAAGAAAATGCAACTCTTTTTCGTGTTATTTTTGACTCAACAATTTTTACTTCAAAAAGTGTAAGATGTTCGACAAAATTCAGTTTCGTGATACAAACACAAAAAGAAGTTTCATTTCCTAGTTAATTTTAATCCATGTGCAGAATATAGGAAAGAACAGTTGATTTGTGCAGTTCATCT